TTGTAATTGGGGCGGCCCCCCCTGCCTTCCGGGGGCCCCCGGCTGCCGCGGGCCTGGCCCGGCCGGTGTGAGGCAGAGCCGACAGGTAGGGCGCCCCGCAGGTGCGGGCAAGAGGCCTGTGGTCCCGGCTGGCAGTACGCACGTCGGGAGGGAGGCGTGCTGCGGCAGGAGTGCGTTCGTCCCACGTTACTCCATCTACAGCTGTGTGATCGTGAAGATTTCTAAAAGTGAAGTAAGGGGCGTTTGCTAGAAAGCTTACGCATAAAAACAGGTAGCGCATAAGGAGCGTGGTCAGAATGGTTTAAGGAAAAACAAAAATACTTAGCAGAGCTGGGAATTTTAGCATTACACTGTCAAGGGACTGGGCATCCGATATAAAAGCTTGTGGGCATAGCTGTACTTCAGGCAACACCTGACTAATGTGACAGCTAATTGGTACGGAGTATCACTGAGGTCAGGCATTTGGCAATACTAAAAAAACAAAAATCATTAGATCTTTATACACATAGCAAGAACAGGCTCGTAATTACAGTAATTTAAAACCAGAAGGGATATAAGCCTTTGTGCTTCAGCAGTACCAGTTAGTAGGAGTTACATGCTCAGTTTGAAGCGCGCGTTGTTTGGTGGGTGTCTGGTTGTCGGAGGGGAGAAAGAAGGGTATACAGAAGCAGAAACTAACCGGAGAAAAAAAATGGTACTTGGAACCAATGTAATCACATCTCGTGATCAGTCATGACTGTGCTGATGGGCACGACAAGGTTTCCTTGGTTCGCTCATATTATCTACTGGTGTGGACACACACTTTCTAAGCCAGGTGTTATCAATTCATGCTCAAGGTAAAGCTTTTTCTGACAGGGTTACTTTGCAACAAGGGCACTACAGTGTCTGCTTCACAGCTTCCTATCTCCCTCAGTGTGTCTACTATTTTTCAGAAATATTCCTACCTTTAACAGTTAGTACATTACCATGAACAATATCACAAATGGAGACATGGGAGTGAGAGACAAGTAGAAGTAGAAAACTACTTCTCACTGACTTGGTAACTCCTACCAGCTATACGCACTGTAAGGTATAAAATTGAAGCTGTTCTCACCTCACCAAATTCAGTATTGAACAACATTTGTACTTCCTGCAGAAAGACGTCAAAAAGGTCTGTGCGTGAAGGCAGAATCTGGTATAACAGATACACAGCCTATTGACAGGAGTTTAGAAAAGTGATGGGGCTGGCTTGGCCTTGACATAGAAGGAGGAGGACACATCTTATTTCAGACAGAGGAAGAAAATGCAACAAATCACTCAAGGAAGCTAAGGCTAAGTCTAAATCTAGACTTGCCTTTTTCAAGGCAGCTGCCACGCCTTGTATATTTACAATGCAATGGGAAGGTGTCAACATCCAGCAAACCCAAAGGCCTGTCCCAAAGCCAGGTGCTTAGTCACCATGCAAGTGTTGACTTGAAATGACCTGCTGAAACAAACTACAGGGTGTGCAAGTATGACTGTAAAACTGATTGCAGTGTTGATCCTAGTGTAGGAATGAAATGTTACAAAATGCAGCGAAAGACCTTATGGAAGGGTAAAACAATATTTAAAGAAAACTGATTTCAGTCACTCACAGTCATTCTCTCATACCCCTGTATTGAAAAGTCCCAAAATGCACATGTCCAAATAGTCAAGCCAGGATCACTTCTGCTATGACACAAGGTTCAAGGAATGCCAGCTGTCAAGTCCTCACTACATCTCTTGGGTTGCCTTGAGCAGCAGCAAAGCAGTTTTTGTACAGATTTTCTATGCCTTTTAGGAGTGGGTTATGATGATGTGATTTTTTTGTCTCAGTCTCTTATTTCACCCTCTGTAAATTTTGGGCAAGCTCACTGCCTGTTGTCTGTGTTCCCTCCTTTTGAAGTATCTGTGTCTTCTCTGAGCTAGCAGAAAGAGGAATGGCCTGTATGACTTACTGTAAACTTGTCTCTATCTTCCTGTTAGCAGAAGGCAGGTCTTCTGCTGATAAGGCATTTCTGCTGTAGGCCTCTCAGAGCACAGGCCTTTTGGTCTTGATGTAAACACTGCATTTGTTAGCGTCTACCAGTTTGATTGCTCTTATTTCTGTCCTTGATTATCACATATGTGTCATTTTTGTGACCCTTGCCTTATTGATTCTACTCATGGTATCACACAGAGACATTTCCATACTCAATTCAAACCAATTTTAATATTTCTTTTACAAGTCTCTATGCTGTTCTGGCAGCTGGGAGTATCTTCACACTTCACTAAAAACCTTTCCATCTTCTTCTTCTCCAGGGAAAGCCTGCTAAGCACATAATGGCTATTCCTCCTGCTCTGCAAGCCCAGGCCCTTTAGATAATGGTCTGTCAGCTGATGAATCAAGTAGTGTATGTTAGTTATTTCTTTTGTTGTTTCCTTTTGGGAGATCAGGACCATTCACATCCAAAACCCAAGTAAATTAAGCTCTTTGCCTTTGTAAGGTTGTTTAAATATGCACAGCAAATTTCTGTTTTCGTACTGAGCGCCTGGTCCTATCGTCACTTGCACCAGCAAACTCGAGGAACCATGACACTCTGAAGAGTCCCTTAGCATTGCTTTACAGTTGATGATACCCTGCTATTAATCAGTCAGTGTAAGTATTTCTAAGTGCTGTTTTGTTAGAAGGGCAATCCAGCTCTTTCTCCACAGAGAATGACTTGACAGGGAGGCATTTGTAGATTAACAGCAATTCGGGAGCCTGACCATGTGTAGCCACGGGACAGAATGCTACTAGTCATCATCCAAGGCAAATTCAAGAAATAACAGAACCAACTACAAGTCTGAACTACCAGTAAAATGCCAGCAAGCTTATTATTATACAAAGTATATGCTATATACTGCTTCCTTCACATGTTTTGTATCCAAAGCTGGCCAGAAATGAAAAAGGAAGATGTTACAGTTGAAACTACTGATAAAAGCAGTACTTTTCACTTATATATGAGGTGAAAAAAATCATTATACATACTCCAGAGGCCAGTTTGTTACCACTGTAAAGAATTTTTTTTAATGTGCATAATCAGTCTTCTAAGAAAATATTCTTTACTTCTTTCAAAAAACCCCACCAGAAATAAACTATATTAAACACTAGAAACTACAATATCAGTAGCGCTATCTTTGTTTAAGACTCCTTGAGGGCTTGCACTGGCAACTTGACAAAAACCATGAATTGGACATGAGTTTGCACACTGGTTATTTGAAAGACACAATCCTTTCCAGAAATCTAATATTTGCTTAAACATCTTTTATTTGATCGAACAGAATTCTCTGTTTGCTTCTGATCCTTGCCATTTAAGTAGTGTTTGTATTGGCTCACATACCCCCAAACACAATTGTGCTGAGCTAGACACACTAGTAGAAAAGCAGCAAGTTTCAAAGACAAGACGTGAAGGCAACCAAAGTGTTGGCACAGATCTACACTGTAGGCAGAAGCCCATGTCAGCACTTCCCCATTGTTAATGTGTTTCATTCAGGAATTTACCAAGTTCAGGATATGTTAACACAATCATCATCAGTCGTATCTTTCAGAAACTTTACCACCTCACAAGATTTTACCAGCCATCCTAATTTTTGCGTTTGAATTTGCACCAATACAAGTTATCCCTGAGACCCAGAATCCAACCTTAATGAAAATGAGAATAGTGAAATACAGACACTCGCAGAAGCCTCTTAGACAAGAAAGAAGGTAAAAGATTTTGTAAGATGCTTATTGCTATGTATACAAAAAGTAGCATTTGGATCAATTTGCAGTGTTTTGCTTTAATCATCTTCCTTGTTACTGAGCGTATAGACAGCATCTGCTACCCGTTTCATTTTTTCCTGCAGACATCAGTATGACATCTCTTCTTGAATTCCCAAAAATTCTCTTTGTCTTTGGAAAATATTACAATACAGATCTGTGATATTTCTTTCCTTCCAACCCCCAAACATCACAGACCAGCCCAAGTATTCAGCTTTAAATAAGTTATGTTCATATGCACAATTTTGAACTGGTGCCCAAGGCCAGGAAGGAATCAACTAGTGAGAATAAGTCAGGCCTACCCAGAAACCTACATAAGCCTATGCATTGCTAAAAACTAACATATACACAGGTATAAGGAACTCAGGAAGACTAGAGTGATACATTTTGGTTTAGTTTGCCACAAGTAGTCAGATTCCACAAAGTTCACCTTAAGAAGAGCACACTTGTTCAGTTTAAAGCTTCATTAGACAATACGGATTTTTTTAAAGAAGCCGGGAATTTTTTTCCCCCTAATAATTCTTCTATCTGTACCACAAAGATTTCCAGTGCTCCTTGACATAACAGATTTACCCTTATAAGTTTTCCTCCATCAGTAGGAATCCTGGCCATTGTTTAAGCATGACTTATTTTGAAAAAGCATCACTAAAATAAAATCATACAACACCACTATGATCTTTCTTCACTATCTATAGATCAAGATAATTGGTTTGTTGGGTTTTTTTTAAACAAATATTACCCCTTAAAACTCAACTCAGGAGGCAAAAAGCAAGTTTAATCCCTTCCTTCTGAAGAATGGTTTGAGGCCAGTTGAAGTCAGTCATACCTGTACAATCTATTTTGGTTTTAGTACACTTGTGACTGACCTGTAATAATACTTACATGTTGCAGCTGACCTGAAAGGGGGACAGTCATAAACATGTATTTTTCTTAAGAGCTGAGTGTGCATTGGAAGGAGGCTTTTTTTTTTTTGCCTTTTTTTTTTTTTTTTAAATAGCAACACTGGGTTATGTAATAATATTTCTTCAGAGTAAAACTTTAAATATAGAAGATTCCATAAATATACCAGACTTTCCATTCAATTTATAGCCCAGTGTTGTTAAATTAGCCAGAGGGGGGTTCCACTTCTGGACTGCCTGAAGGGTTTTTGATTTCTTACCTTTAGCAAAGATTTTTTTTTTTTTTTTTACATCCACTGTTGGACACGTTAGCAGACTTTTTAGAAAGTCACTGTGCTTGTTAAACAACGCTTGTTAAACTCAAGCTGTACTTGCATATAAGCACATCACATAGTTCCCAGAACACAATCTGACATGCATGTGAACCAGGGCTGCAAATATGCTTTCCTTCTCCCTGCTTCCTCAGCACTTCACATTCACTTCCATATTGTTCCCCATGCTCACCAGCATTAGGACAGTAAACAAGACTTGAAATTAGTTCCTCAGTCTCTTTCAGGCTGAATTTGGTTACAGTGCTGTCCCAGTTTTGGCTGGGATAGAGTTAATTTTCTTCCTACCAGCTGGTATAGTGCTGTGTTTTGGATTTAGGATGAGAATAATGTTGATAACACAAGTTATCAAGTTTTAGTGGTTGCTAAGCAGTGCTTACACTAGTCAAGGACTTTTCACCTTCCTGTGCTCTGCCCAGTCCACGAGAAGCTGGGAGGGGGCACAGCCAGGAGAGCTGACCCAGACTGGCCAAAGGGCTACGCCATACCTTATGACGTCACGCTCAGTATATGAACTGGGGGGAGTTGGCCGTGATGGAGGACTGCTGGTCAGGGACAGGCTGGGCATCGGTCAGCAGGTGGTGAGCAATTGCATCGTGCATCACTTGCTTTGTATATTATTATTATTATTATTATTATTATTATTATTATTATTATTATTATTATTATTATTATTATTATTATTATTATTATTATTACTACTACTACTACTACTACTACTACTACTACTA